TCCGTTCTGGCTTCTGCAACAAGTGAGAGGATAGCTCTTTTTATTTAACTTCAGATTTCTTTTAGTCAGACAGTTTGCTTCACTGGGTAGTACGTATCTACAGGATAAAGAATTCTCCTCAATTCCGAGAGGTTGCAGATTCAAATGCTGACAAAAAATTATTATAAATTAAGATATATTTTTCCGTTTTATGCTTCAAAAATTCCAGAAGGAGCAAGCTGGGATTAAAGTGTTTTATTAAAAAGAATTTTGGGTTATGATCCTTGTTAAACTGAGGAGACATAAAAGTTTCCTGAATACGCAGAACCCATTATTAGATGAGATCGCCCAAAAGAAAAACCCCAGTAACACTTTATCCCAGATTATCTTTTATTGTGGGTATGAAAGATACTGAAATATTATGTACGTGTTGGGGCACGTGTTATACTCACTCAGATTCTAACATAAAATTGATATGAAAGAAAGCAGCAGTAAAAACTTGCCTTTTTAAAAATCATACCAGCTTCTGCTTCTTAAAATGTGGATATTTAATGAAATCTCAGAAATCTGGGGCAATTGGATCATAGTTATAACTGCACATGCAGGATTAAGAGTAGAATAAGAATGCCAATGATTTATAATGTAGCAAGACTGCAACCATTTGCAGCTTCTTAAAAGTAATTGTTTTCTGCTTGTAAATCTGAAGATGCAGGAGGATTCCACTCATACCAGGATCCGGGTGGGGGAGGCAGAGTAACTTTAACACAGGGGTTGTCTAATCTTGGCGATTTGTGGACTTTTAACTCTCAGGATTCCCCATCCAGCTGTGCTGAAGTTGAAGTTCACAAGACCTGACTACTTTTACACCCGCAGCCACGCAATTACTGAAAATAACCGGAAAGATGCTATGTGTGTATGTGATGCCTCTCCAAAAGACAGGAAAGCCAGCAAGTTGTGCTTGCCTGATGGGATCTGAAAAAGCACAATCTCTGCACACCCCAAAGGAAAAGAAAGACTTAATTTAATCCCACATCATGTCAGAAGACAGCACATGCCCTCCGTATGTTTGGACTACAATGCCCACAATGCCTTATTGGCCACGCCGGCTGATCACAGACCGGAATCTCAACATATATGCAAAAGATCGGTTATCCTCAAGGTCTAAAGGCCGACTGGGCACCATAGGAACTATAGTCCAGCACATCGGACGCAGGAAAGAAAAGCTGTTCTGGAGAGATTGCACTGGCTTGCTGGGGTTGCTTTGTTCCTCGGCAGCGGGACTGCCTACCTGGTAAGAGGGAAGCAGCTTCAAGAGGAAGCACGCGAGAGCCTCGTCGCAGTGAAAGGTGCCCCCGTGGGTGCCGATGCGGCTCGGGCGCGCGCGCTTGGGGCCCGGCATGAAGCTCCGAGTCACACGAGGAGCCCAAGCGAAGAGACGGAGCATGCGCATAGCCGCGGTTGTTTGCAACCAGCCCCCCCCTTCTCCCCCCAACCCCGGAGCCTGATTTCCGCCGCCAGGGTGTGTGACGGCGGCGCTTCTACCGTATTCCTGCGAGTTGGGGCGCGTGGATTTCTTCTCCCCAAACATTTTCCTCGCGAGACAATATGCTTTCACGGGGAAAGAAGAAGAAATCCTGCAGACGTTCCGTATCAAAAGTTGTGCAATCAGTGCAGGCATCCGACAATCTCTTCCAATTTCTTGCAAAGGAAAATCAGACTATTTTTAAGGACCCGGTTTTGCGATTGCGCGGGTACGCACTTGCGAGGGAACAGGGCGGTAAAATTTCGTTCCCTTGTGTGAAAAACTGCGGAATAAAAGTACAGTAACGTGTTCCTTTTTAAAAAAAAAAACTATTTTTCAAGAGAAAAGTCTGTACATTACTGGAGATAGACTTCCACTCCAGCCTAATTTAGTTCACAGGGATGTTTTCAGGGAGTACTCTCCTGGTTGCCCTGAGCAACTGAATAACAAAAATTAAAAAATGTTTTTAAAAAGTCATCGAAGCCAGTGAAAATATTCAAAAAGTGAACTGAGACTTTAAAGGCCCCACTTCTGCTCCCATCCCAAGCCATTTACTTTTAAGGAACAGAGTGCAATTAAGCATTACAGTCAAGGTTAACCTTATTGATAGGGTTAACATTAATGCATGAGAATATATTTAATAAAGGTGGAGTATAAACTGCAATTTGGCAATTCAAATCCCACCAGGTTCAAGGTTGACTCAGCCTTCCATCCTTCCGAGGTGGATAAAATGAGGACCCAAATTGTTGGGGGCAATAGGCTGACTCTGTAAACAGCTTAGAGAGGGCTGTAAAGCACTGTGAAGCGGTAAATAAGTCTAAATGCTATTGATATTGCTATAAATAAGATCATATTTCCTCTGCATATTTTCCCTATGGGTGATGTTCCCCAGCACACTGGCTATCTGGCATTTCTGTTTTTACCACTTTTGCTAAATGCTTTCACTTGTTACCACTTGTAGCCAAGGTTATGAATTCCACTTGCTGGACTGCTTTAGGCTGAATTTCTAATATTGCTTATAGGAAAGTATGTGCACTCCAAGCTAAAAGGGTCAGAGAGCACTGGCCAGCATTCAAGGAGGAGGAGAGGAGGTGTGTGTGAAGGAGTTGGGCATTTTCAAACCTTTGACTGTCGTCAATTCACTACCTGTAAGGCATTGTACATTCTGTAGATAGCCAAGACTACAAGGAGTCCTTGTAAAACCAGAACAGCTGAAAGGTTAATTTAAGCTGCCTCTGGCAAAAGAAGAAGTAAATGCAGCATCACGTGGAAATATTCTTTAAAAAATGATTAGTGGAGCATCTTCATGCTATGGGCAGCAGGATGTGAAGATAAAGCCATTGATGCTTCACCCAAATCTCTAAATTACTTCCTCCAGTAGTTTCATGAAGGGAGTGAAGTGGCAGTAAGAGGCATGCAGTCTCGACATCTAGTTCTGGAGAGCTTGACCCATTAACTTCAAGGTGCCATCTTATTCCTCATGCTAGTTAACATTTAGAAATAGTTTATGCCGCACCATTAAACTTTTAAAGCAACTGCATCACTAATGATTCACATTTGTATTTTAGGAAGTTTTTAGGGTCCCAACTGATGTAATTTTCAGTCCTCTAATCCAGGGGTGTCAAACTTACATCGTGGAGGCGGTGTCACATGACGTATTGGGACTTTTTTTCCCCTTCGCTAAACCAGGCATGGACGTGGCCAGTGTGTGATGTATCCGGGCTGCGAGTTTGACAGCCCTGATCTAATTGTTAAGATTTTCCTCATTGAAAGAGAGGCTCATATCAGTGTTACATAGAAATAAATCCCAGGGGACTTAAATGATTCATTTCTGAAGAAACATATCAAGTTAATCACTCAAAAGGTTTTCTTCATTTTTTATTAATAAGGTAACCAAGCATCACATTTAAAACTGCAAAACAGTATTTAATCATTCTTTATTATTAAAGCTCTGGAATATTATATTTAAATATTAGATCTTTATTTGTTAGAAAAAAAGCCAAAAGATGTACAGAGGAATAAAAAGATAGCATTCATCTCTAAATTTCCATCATTCATCATCATCACCACCACCATCATCACTATAATTAAAATATATATCTCTTTAAATCATTATATTGAATTTTATAAAGTGCATGACGATTTATTACATAAGGCAACAAAATGGAGATGATTTGTGTTTCTCATCTAGTAAGCTACCTTTCTCTAACTGTACAGGTTTGGCTTTTACATGCAGAGGTGGAAAAAGAGCCCTAAACATCTTTCAGAACAGAGCAGCTTTGATTCAAATGTCATTGTTATTAAAGCCTTTACAACAAATTCACATGAAATAGTTTCAACCTATACTAAATAGCCTGGTTCATTATAGTAACCTGATTGGCTTGTAACAAGCATGATGTTCAAACATTGCTGTATTCAGTTGAGGGCACAGAATTTGAGAGGGTGATTAATTCCACCCCTCTCCTAGGCAGAAAAGCTTTAAGTATTATCCTCCTCCTCCTCTTCCTCCCCTCCCCCTTCTCGGCATGGAGATTTTCCTGATATGGGATGAATTCCAACTCATACATCCATGACTGCAACACCTATAAGATCTTGTTATTGTTCTAACCATGAAAAAAATGACAAAAATGTCTCTTAAGATACAGAAACAAACACCCCCCTATAGCAAATTAGCATGCTTATTGTTCTAGCAGCTTAAATAGTGGACAAATTAGCAATGTGTATATCGTGCATTCCATATTGAGTACCTGAATTTTCTTCTAAAAGTCTCTCAATACTTGATACCACCAACGAGTTCAAATTTGCCCTCACCCCCTTCTGTGATTCTAACTATGTATTTGCTGAGGTGATTTTCACTTTTAAAAGTGTTCTTGACTCAAGCATATGGTGGAAACATAAGATCACCCTATCTTTAAAGTTATTTATCAGCTTAGATGCTGAGATGAAGTACAAATATTGATTAAAAAGCCCATTCAAGTGACCAAAGCTAAGGAGGGTTCACTGAAGCGATGATGCATTTCTGCAGTTGAAGGAGCAAGGTTTTAAAATGGAGATGCTATATCTAAAATGATTAGCCTGGATAATGAAAAAATCCAATGTATTTTGGGTTGCGAAGGTTCAAGCTTTAATATGCTCTCCCTGCAAAAGAAGCTAGCTGAAGGAGGGGTACCTACACACATATGCTCACACACATCCAACCACAGGGACTTATTGCATGTGGGTGGGCTGCCTTTGTGCCAACTCTCAGAGAAGTACAGAAGGAAGTTAAGGCTTTGATGAAATCTTCCAATCCCAGTAATTTAGGCTAATTTCAGAGTAAAACAATCTAATCATTCTAGAAAAAGATAAATTGCTTTGCAGCAAACTCAAGGCACTTTCACAAGAATTACAGGTTTAGTCTATTACCCTACTGACACCTAGTGAGCACAAGGCAGATTTCAATCCAAATCTCTGCCTTCTTATATCATCTGTAAAATCTAACCAGCACAATCTTTTTAAAAAAATGCTTGTCTAATCTGTTCCTGTCTGTGAAGAATAATTATTTTACCTGATAGATTAAAATATATAGCGATGTAGAGTGTGCAAACTGCTGTTATCACCAAGAATTAAAATCAAACAGAACGACACAATGGTGAATGTTCAATGTGTCTTTGAAGTAAGCAATATATTCTACAACCTAAGTTTTAGCAGAACATTAAGCTATAAATCATGTTTTCTCTTTCAAACTGACAATTAACTCATTTTTAATGGTGCAGTCTTAATAAATCTCTCACCCAAATGTTTGTAGATTCCTTCATCAAACAGAAATTGGTCCACATATTATTTCATATTATTTGGGACCAATGCAACAAAAGCTACCTAAACCACACATATTCTTGGTGAAGTCATTATTGATGACAAGATCTTTTCTTTGTCAACAAATGGCTCATATATACTTAATTTTTCTAGAAATCAAGTAGCCTAGAGGTTGTCAAACTTAGAGTAAACATTTTACCAGTATCAAAAATAAATTAGTTTCAGCCTCCTGAGGTTGACTTAAGAACTGACTCAAACATCATAGCCCCAAATTGGAAACAACTGAAAATTGCTTATTCTGTATCAGATAATTAAGCTGCTTTGTATATGATTTAATCTGATCATAGGAATCCTTTCTACAATCCATTAAAAAGTGCTACTATACAATTTTTCTGAACAAACCAAGCATTCTTGGATAGAATGTCAGTATTATACTTCTGGATTATTCCTCATCAACTCTTAGTAATTAGTAGTGTCAGACACTGTTTAAGGCTGAAAGCAGCAAACATAGCCATGGTTATAATAGTGCAGAGATTCTGGCAGGAGCCTGGTTTTTAAGAACGTGTCCATATTCCCCACCAAGGAGTGTATGATTAAAGCCAAAGTCTTCCAGTTCCTATTATAAATTATTAAGAGCTTTAAAAGTGCTGGCATATTTCTATGCATTTGACAAATTGCATTTAAAAAAAAAACCAAAACCCAAGATGATGATTATTTATTCTAACAAATCTTTCTTCTATTCCTCATTTGGCTAATAAACAGAAGTTTTGCTGCTGTTGAAGCATCTTACTTATTAATTAAATTTATGTATTAAATTTATATGCTGCCCTTTTCACTGCTAAAGTGACTGTTGGTATTTGGCAGGAAATTATAAGCTTATATTCAATAAAAATGAGCACTTCGATATCTCTGTGTATTACAATAATCCAGGACTGAAAGCTTTTACTAGCCTATAGAAAGGAGAATATCCAAATTCCATTTTTCATTCCACTCATTCTCTGTGGGCGCTCTTACACAATTGGTATCTTTCTAAGGCCATGTTTCAACTGCTGCCTTTCATCACTGCAAAGTAGCAAGAGAGAAAGCCATTCAGTTTTGAAGGGCAGGTGGAGTAAGACGAATCAGGTTGTTCCTCAGAGAGACTGGAAATGTATATCAAGAATGTGGCTCTTCAGGTAGCATGGGGGGTGGGAGAAGAAATCAAAATTCTCACTGACAGAATATGCATAATCTCACGTGGGGGTAAAAACTTTCGTTTGTAGCCAGTAGAAAGCTAGGCTGACACCCCCACACACACTCTTGATTTCCATGTGCTTTTTCCTCAGTGGTGACTCAGGAGATTTCATTGCCAAAGACTTCAAGGACCAGTGGAGTGAGCTGCATGCTATGTTCAGGCAAGAAGGAGAGGCAGCGATATTGCTTGGAATGCTCCTCGTTCAGGCTCCTTAAGTCTGTGAGTTTTTGGATCATTTTGGGATAGAGCAAGTGGTTGCCCGGAGGAGGGTGTCGGCAAAGAATATACGTCTGCAGGATTTGTGAAAGACGGTCCTGGATGGACTCCACCAGAGCTGTGTCCTGAACACCAGGGCGATCTAGGAAACAAAACACATCACACATTTGTACGTGATGGAGGCAGGCAGTAGCACACATGACAGGGCCTGTATGTGCTCCACTGTTACTTAATTCCATTTCCCCCCCTCTCCTAATAGTAGTTTCTATGCATTCCCTTAATTCTTCCCCTCCAACCCTAGAGTCACAAGTTGAACTCCTTCAAAATAATTCCGAGTTTGCCCTTGTATCCACATTCCATGTCATGTGTCAGAATCAGAAAAGGAAGCATAAAAAAAAAAGTTTCAGAGATATTGGAAAACCTTAAGACAAGGTATCAATGTGGCATAGGTTAAACATATGTTTAAAAAATGGAAATAAAGCAGCAATTGTTGGAGGAGAGACAGACTTTTTCTTTAAATATTTCAACTATGAGACAGCTTGAACCTTTTAAAGATGTTTTTGGCATTAAAAATAAAACTGAAGTTTGCATAAGCCACAGACCTGATCTATGCAGCTCATGTGGCTTATGTGATCACAAACTGTCTTCAACTTCTTATCTCTAACCCTCTGTTACTTGTTGTCATGCTCAGAAAGAAAGACACAACTTTTTTGGGATAGGAGAATGTACTACTTTTTTTTTTTTTTTTTGCTCAATCACTGGAATTTTCTACCAAAAGTTCTCAAAGGGGATGCTGTTGAGGTATATGAAATTAATGGGTTTCTTGTGTCTGCTTGAGACAAACCATCCATTTAATGAGTAAGACATTGCTTTAATTTCCTTAGCATTTTGGGTCAAGCAGAAATAGGCTTGGGTCAGAAATAGTTAACTCTTATACCAGGTACGCATGATGATCAGATATTAATCATAAAAACAAAGAAACCGAGAAGGCAGTGCAGGTAAGGATGTTTTTAAACAAAGAAAATCTTTTGCAATTGTTCTGTATGGTATACTACAGGTAGTTAATTTGTAACTTTCCCCCATTATTCTGCCTTTTTTTCTTACCGCCTTCAGTCCATTAAAGAGGATTGATGCCCATAGAGGAGAGTGGCATATGCCATCATTCTAAAAGTATTGCCAGGGCTGTTCCAGATGTCAGCACACCCCTGGCCTTCATATAAGGGGAACTGTCTCTCTGTTGGTGACCTGTAATTTCGAGACATTGAGTCCTACTGTTCTTCTAAAACATCACAAACCTTAACCCAAACCCTGCCCAGTGCTTCCCATATCTTCAATTGTAACTAGCAAATGCAAACAAATGCAAGAGGGAGCATAGCACAACAAACAGGAGAAAACTTTCTTAAATACAGGTAGTCCTTGACTTACGACCACAATAGAACCCAGAATTTCTGTTGTTAAATGAGGCATTTGTTAAGTGAGTCTTGCCCCATTTTACAACCTTTCTTGCCTCAGTTGTTAAGTGAATTACTGCAGTTGATAAATTAGTAACCCGGATGTTAAGTAAATCTGGCTTCTCTACTGACTCTGCTTGTCAAAGGTTGCAAGGGGGATCATATGACCGTGGAACACAGCAATGGTTATCAATATGAACCAACTGCCAAAGCATTTGAATTTTGATCACATGGTCATGGGGATGCTGCAAAAGTCATAACTGTGAAAAATAGTCATAAATCACTTTTTTTCAGTGCCATTGTAACTTTGAACTGTGATAAGTCAAAGACTACTTTGTAGGATATGTTGACAAGTCACTTTCCCACTAATAAATTATAGCATCTTCTAAGCACACAGACACACTGCTACCCCTTCACCATCATAGGCAGGGCAGGGACAGACAAAGGGACAGATGTGGCCCGTTTGCCATAAAACCCCCAGGTCTGTTCTAACGCCATTCAAGAAATATAGTTTCTGACAAATAACTAGCTTCCTTCAGTATCATAGTCATGAGTTGAATGTTTAGTTCCCACACTGACACATAGCAAATATATTGAACAAAAATTCTCAAGGTACCTTTCTCTATTCAGCAAGCCAATTAGTATCCTCTGCTCAAAATTCTCCACTAGTAGCGTGCTTTATAACAAATCATCTCACAATTCAAGTTTTCAGCAAGCATTTTGTCCTTTCTTTTTGACAAACCAGCAGTCTATATCCCTAAAGAGTAATTTCAGAACCACTTGGCCATTAAATTGTTAACCAACACACTTCTGGAAAGGGCACTTTACCTCACACTAGTTTTCATTGGTTGGAAAGATGCTTGACACAAACTGAATGGCAAACATTTCTAACAATCCACATTGTGTTAGGGATTTGAGTTGAATTGCCACAAATAGTTTCGATAAGTGCCAGATCTTTGTGAACAAATTCCTGCTCATTGTACTAAGCCATATTGCAGACTTCTAGGCTCGGTCTCTAACCAAGGCTGTGCACCAACCTTCTTTTTATTTGATGCTTAGGGAGTGGCATTTGAACAGGTCTTCGGGGATCTTTGTTAATACAGGAAAATTTCCTATTATTTTAGTCATTTGTCATCCTTAAACCTACTTCATCCTTTCACTCTTATTTCGCCCTGCTTATCACAAGTAGGTTACAGCAACCTTTTCTTAAGTCATTCCAATTTAACATCTTTTTACTCATCCGTGTGGCAGGTTGCTAGAAGAGTTAATCAGATTCTAAACAGAAATATCAGCTGAATCTCCGCAGACTGTATATTCAATTTAGTTGAAGTCTGGCTCTGGGCAAGGATGTAATCTGTCAGGGGGGAATGCACTCTTCCTTTTCTTATTTGGCAGACATATCATTCTATTTAGATTCAATAAACTCCATCTATACACCGTATGTTTAGCCTCTCCATCTATTCACATGATGAAAAATGATGTTCAGTTATAATTTGATTACTTTCATAAACATGCAGATTCAAGTTATTTGGAACCTTTGAGTTACCAAGGCCCTTTTCTGTCTGATCTCTGAAATCACCCAATTGTTGTCATAAAAAGTGATCTGGTACTTTTTGCGTGGTTGTGCACTTGAGGGCTATATTGACTCATTTTAGAGAAGCATTAACCACACTTTTCATTTTCTTCATGTAGGGTTTAAGCAACTTCTCAAATATGTCTATCATAGCACGTACTGTCAGAAGTCACTGCCGACTAGGCAAGACGTTTCCTGATACTCACAGTCTATGTCAGCTCACTCTGTTTAGTCATCTCCTAATCTCTCTGTCTTAGGGAGAGAGAGGGAGGGAGGGAGAGAAGTCCATGCTTTGCTGGTATTTAGAGAGTATTCTGACATCAAAGCTCCTTGCCTGTTTAATCTGGGGAAAGTCTCCCATTGACACGATGCCAGAAGGTCATAGGTTTTTAATTCCACAGCTGCTTTAATACCATGCAAAACAGCTACACTTATCTCAGGTTCCCCACCCCACCCCACCCCCCATCCTCTGACTTATATGTCACTCTATTTGGGATCTGCCTCAACCAAAAGTAATTCTTCCAAGGAAGATTGGCTCTGTTTAAAAACAAAAAGTATTGACAAGAAGGGATAGAGATATAATAATTTCAGCAAATAGACTATTCCCAAATTAGAACCATTTCCTGCAAACTGATGAAGAGGTGCTGCTTTTCAGTGTTGTGAAATAGGTTGAACATAGCCTGCCTGACAGGTAGAAAAGGGGCACAAGGTGAGGTGAGAAGCAACTATCAATAACCATGAATTCCAGTAACTAATGTCACAGAGGAATGGGTGTGAATGGCTGTGGCTAGTAACACTCCAAAGTAGTCAATGGAATAGGCAAAATGGGGCAGCTAAAACCACTCCCTAAAAGTAACACAACAAAAAGTATAGTCACCTAAAACTTCATGTCAACAAAAGCAGCAGAAACCCGTACTGCACTCAGTAATGATAGAACTAGCAACGTGCAGATTGTACAGGCTGCTCTCTTTTTCCATTAAAATTAAATGTTCACCTCTGTTCACCTCTGATCTAGTGCTCTGGAGAGAGGGCTAGTCCTGTTTTTAAACGCAGGCCAAGCATTATTTCAAAATACTGGTAAACTTGTGTTTAAAAATAGGCTTAGTATTGTTTTAGAAGAACTCTAAACCTGACAGACAATATAGGAGGCCTCATTAGACATAAGAAGCATTTTAGAAAATGATCAGAAGCCTTATCTAGGCAGATGTATCAGTGAAAGCCATGTTTCTAGTTTTTCCTGTAAGTCAAATGGCCCCAGATGGCAGTGCTTAGTGCCCAGTACAGAGGGAGCACATCTAGAATAGCTGGACCAATAGGAGCTGTGCAAACTCTACCCTGTCAGGTATATCACCAATGAAGCATGCTAGACAGTATCCACAACAAAACATGTGGAAAGAAAAGAGAAAACACTAGTTTAAGACCAGAGTAGCTAAAGGTAACTAAGTTGCTTCAGTTATGGGCTAGGGATGAGACAGGAAATGTCATGAAGACATGGCACATAAAAATAGTATTGATGCAGTAGTTAGGTGGATATAACACTTCTGCTCGGAAACAGCAAGCATTGAATATCACTATAAGCTCAGAACATCATGATGTTTGAATGTATCTGAAAACAATCAAAATAGTCTGAATTTAGCCAAGGCCTATTATAAAGTAGATCCAAAAGGACCAGGACAGATTGGCCATTTAGAATTACTCCAAAATAGATCGAATTCCTTGAAAATAATCCCTTCACTTTATGCTGTGGAAGAGATTGCAAAAATTAATTTTCTATAGATGGTCATTTGTTCAGTAGCTTGCTTCTTACACTGAGGAACATCCAGCACCTTCATTTGGTCAGAAAGATGCTTAGTTTTTTTATATATGTACACTCCATTTATGTTATTTACTACCAAACCTTTAATACAGGGACATGTAAAGTATGATAACATAGTTTACTGATAATATTTTAAGACAGCTGAAATGCAGCCTGCTACACTAAAGTTTTCCTCACCAGGAGAAAGGATGCAAATGGCCATTAGGAGCACATGTTCTTCTTCATGCAGGTTCAGTTTCTTCAGACTAATTTGAAATTTGATGAGGGGCTCCAGTAAGTCTAGGCTGTGGCCAGCTGAAACAGAAACAAAGCAACTTTTGAGAGGCAGGCACTAGATTACTAATTACCAGCTAGTCTAAAACAGGGGAAATAACAAATGTAAGCATAAATCTTGGCCCTGGATTTTCCTTCCAATGCACCCAATTCTAAGTGTGTCATCCGTTGAGTTGTCATCCCTAAGGTGAGCAGAATGCTCAAAGAAACCAAACAACCGGAATAACAACATCCATGATTTATTAAAACTGGGCCTTTGGCAAACTTAACTTACACGGGATTCGCCCTTCAGGTGGTGCAATCGTGCCATTTATATGATTACTTTTTCAACTTCCTGTTCCTCTCCATCTTGGTCAGATGGTTGCCACAGAAACTGAATTCTCAAGTTTGCAACTTCATGAAACATCAGCCAGCTTGGCAATCTGAGCCCATTAGGCAATCCACCTCCTCATCCCAATTTATTATTCATAGTGATAAAAAGAACATTTCACTGGAAGAACTTGAAGATACGTTTGCATGTATAGTAGAGTGAGCTTTATTTTATCTGGCCCACAGCCCTTCCTTCCTCTAAAATTGCTAAGCCTTCCTTTTTTTTTCTACTGGGTACCACCCAGCTCTCACAAGAGTCTCTGTGGTGCAGCAAAACAACAACAACAACCAGAGAGAGAGAAGCCTGGAAGCATCTTTTTTTTTAAAAAAAAAAACTAACACATTTTCTTAAAAGACTTCAACTTTTAGGAGCTGCAGCTCACACCATCAAATGTCTTTCTTTCCAATGTTTTGGGTTTGGGCAAATAAAAACCTCTCTTCCTCTCTGAACTTAAGCCACCTCACACTACCCTCTTTTTAAGGTAGTCTATGCAGGTACTTCCTTGCTTGGCTGCAGCTGAGGAGGGTTACCAGCAGTGACAAATCTGGGATCTCCTGCCTTGCCCTGGGGCTCCTCCCCTTTCCCCTCCCCCCTCTTCCTTTCTTGAAGAAAACACTGCAAGCTTCCCCTGCAACAGCTGTGTTTCAGTACACGGAGCTGGGTGGAGACAAGGACAAATGATCTGGGAACACTGCATTTATACACCCTTGGTGGCAAACTAGAGAGCTCTTATGGACTCCTCTCTTGTCCTCAGTGTTTTGGGGCCTCCTAAAACACTCCCAAGGAAATTTGGAGGTATTTCTAAGGGCAGGCAATATAAGAATGGTGATTGTGCAAGAAGTCAGTCATACCTGCTGCAACCACAAGGTGCTGCACAAAACCTCTATGCAACACAGGGGAGATGGCAAATCAGGATTAACTGCCAAGGAGTAAGTCAGTACATTTTTCATTATGTTATAAATAGGCTGTACATTATCAAACAAAGGATAAACCCAATTCTCATTCTCAGATACACCACTGTCATAATTCCTTTCTAATATTACCAGCTGTGTAAAATAACTCATAAAATACTGTGTGCCCCTGTGATTTGCTTTGACCTTATGTAGGTTTGGGACACATTTTCTATACATCTTAAGAGGTATTTAATAGTACTGAAAGAAAATAAGAGTTGGCACAAGGTGGCTGCTCCAGGGCTCTCTTCTGCTTTACCATACAGGCCATACCTTGAGTGACATCACTGACTTGGTATTTGAAGTCATTGCTGCCGCAAGTCCAGGACATATCCTCCAGGGAGAATGACTGATTGGAACGGAGCATTATCACTTCAATGGCACTGGATTTCAACAGAGCAATCTGATCCTCCGCCGTTAGACTTCTGTATTTATAAAAGGAGAATATGAAACTCAGATTTCAACCAATCCATCATCATAACATTCTGTCAGGTCAGAACTAGATAGGATTATCCTTTATTCCCCACCGTGCGGCTATTTCTCTTGGTATAAACTGATTTTATACAACAGCTTGGAAGGCCATCCCCAAACATAAGCTCCGTTAACCAATGGCAAACTTTAAGTTGGTTGCAGACATTTCTGCTTGCAATTCACTGTAGCCTCAAATGATGGCTTTATCAGTGTGGATGAGGGGCCACAGACCAGATGTTTCTGACAGAACTTTAATGTCACTTAATATGGATATTTTAGCAACACAGTTCACACACTGAATTAAAAGCCAGTCACAGCTGGGCTGTGCAATGCTGTGGATTTGATAAAAGAAAGTTTCTTTGGAGCATGTAAGAATAATGAGTGTTTCCTTGGAATCATGACACAAACTTTGTGGGGCCACAAAACAAAACGAATCACAATTTTTTTGGGAAAAAGACATGAGGATCTAGGCAGGATTTTTGCAGCAGGTAGAGCTCCACAAAACAGATTCAACTTTCTTGGCAACAGTGTTTAACTCGGTTCACAAAAGCAGCAAACCTATGGGAAACCTCCGGTCACAGTGGCTCTCTGCAGGCATGTATGCGTATACACATACGACATGCTTCCCAGGCTCCTAATCTGAGATATTCAAGATCTCTACTAGTATCAAGGTGGCAGGCTAGCCCTTGCCTACAGCAAAAGGTTCTGTCACCCACCCATCTCAGGAAACAGCTGTTAGTGGATTTCAAGGCTCAGAAAAAACAGAGCCATTCTGAAGGTAGGACTTCAGTTCAGTTGAGGAATGATAATATTAATTTATACGGCTTGCTGTGTCAAGGTTTTATTTGGTTTTTAAGGTGACCCATTTTTATCTCACTGAGCCTTTTATGTGCCCTTGCAGATTCTGAATTCTTCTTGAAAGTTCTGTGGTGTTGTGCATTGATATATATTTATTGGAGCATGACAAATCAGACACAGATACACACACCTCTAAGGAAAAAGCAGGCAAGGGTTCTGAAACTACTTCTAAATTTCTTTACCTGAACCCTGGAATCATTTTAGCAAATCCAATAACTTTCTGGATGCTATAGCTAACAAGATCAGCAAGGTGAGGCAACATGGAGAGGTGGGAGAAGTCAATGGACATGGATGTGCTGTCATCGTTCAACTCCAGACTGGAAAACATCATTGGCTCTGGTGGGAAAGGAGAGGTGGAAACAGCTTAGACCCCATGTCACACCAGCAGGGAAGGCACCACTCATTACAGCATGACAGGTTCAATGTTTTAGAATTTACACAGCATTAGTTGGCTGCTTAATGATTACTATTTATTATTTTATTTTCTGTTGTGCTTTGATTTTCATTAAGAGAGTCACATTGTGAAGGTGAAATTGAGGAGTCACTGCAGTGGCCAGGACCCTGCTTGTCCCTAAGCTGATTGAAAGCCACTGCTGGTAATACTCCAATAGGAACAAGCAAAACCAAAGAATCCAAAAGGAGTAATTTTATGAGATTAAAAGTTTTAAGACTGTAGAATTCCTCAGAGTCCAATTTTTGGGTCCTATTCATATGATTAAAAACATGTCCCAGTTTTTCACTTTAATCTACTGTTTTGTTCTTTCCTAACCACACTTACAATGGTTTTTAGACAATAACCATTGCAGTGTAGCATAAAAAAATACATAAATGTATTACTAAAAATACAATCTTTGGCACAAAAGCAACCTCAAGGTCTGAACATGGAATCAAAGCAAGCCAAGATGACTTTTTTCTGCATCATCTTCCCAAATATTCAAAATTATCCATTAATCTCCAGTGTTTATATGACATGCCAATCCTGATGGACTTCAGATGGGTAACATAAATAATTCTGTGCCAAACGCCACAATACAGTAAAGACACATAAGGTGTCTAAGGACATTCAAATAAAATGTTCATTCAAAGGCTTTAGCCATGTCAACTTCATGGGGTTGCAATAGATGAGGGCTGTTTTTCCATTGGCAGACATCCCCATCAATCCTCACTTCCCAGTTCCTGTTGTCTCCTTCTCTCATTCAGGCATTGTAGTGTGCTATAGCCTTCACACAAAGACTGTGGTGCTCTTCCAACCCAACCAGCTGGGGTAAGCAAATGCAATACAAGGAAAATGCTCTTGGCTGACACTCAGTTTCCACACTTGTCTATTGTTCAGGCAGAAAATGGACAGGCTAGACTTCCATGCATGCAAAAGCTATGACTGGTCATAGGCTTTGCAGGAACAGCTTTGAAGGTTATGGAGATGGAATGCTGGCCATGCTGAGGTATCCCCACAATGCAATCAGAGGCAGCATTTATCACAGGCCCTTTTTTTATAGAACTCTTTCTGAGTTTCCCCAGAATGTCTTTTATTTTTCCACAACACCAGTAAAAGAAAATTGGAATGGTTACCACAAAACGTGTTGGCATTAAGAACTCCGTGAATAGAAGTACTCTAAAATTCATAGGACTATGTTAGGTCTCCTGAGGGGAAGAGAAGGAGACCTTTGTAAAGGAATCTATTGGAGATGCTCATCGAATAGGTATTTATTTGCCTTTCATCTTGCAGGAATGAACTATGTAGAAACATTCTAAATGGATGTAACAGGACTACTGTGAATGTGGAGCAACCCATGAAGTGAGAAAGCAGAAGCATTACATTTAGTGATTAGTGGTCTCCCCAAAGTATTAAACAGATTGGCCCCTTCTCCCCCATATTATGCAGGTCAACCAACTCTATGGCATGTTGCTATATTGTACATTAATTTCGGATTAATTCTGTGTAAAGGACTGCTAGGTGAAACTGATAATACTGTAACATCACAACCCTGGTAAACTGATATATAGTAGGTAACAGTCCCCATATATGGGGACCGTATTTTCAATTTTGCATCTCTCAGAAAAGATAGCCCTGTCTTTCTTTAGAGCAGATTAATAAAGCCAAAATCAACTATGAGCCATTGCACTTAAGCAAGTGACAGACAGAACACAGATTGCTTAGCTGTAAGTTAAGATTTGTTGTAAACGTTTCACAAAGAAACTTCATCAGTACAAAAAGGCAACTATAGGATTTGCCATTTAAAAGAAGCATAGTTGTTAGAATTCTTGCAGTTTACCATGAATATAAATATGATTCACTCTGTGTGTTACCTGAAGAGAAGCTGGAGGTATCTGAAGAGTCATCTGAGAAGGAAAAACCTGGTGTCATGCTAGAAGATCTACTTGTTTGTTCTTTGTTATCATTTTGTCTTACAGGAGGCTGAAATAGAAAGAGTACCATTTGATAGTAGCTTGCTTTCCTCATACCTCATTCTGATTCTAGTTACTAGAAAGTTAGTTTATTAAGAGAGATAATTTACTTTAAGGAAAAGGATGCCCTGAGGCTTTGACCCACTCTACTTCTGTTTATCCAGTCTACTGAAGGCTGTCCAATTCCATGGATCCATTTCTTAGAACAATCACCTAAGAGAAGACTTGTCTGTTCTGATATCCTATGATTTTAGATTTTTTTTTAAATCTCTCCTTTATTATTTTTATAAATAACTCAAGGCAGGGAACATACCTTATACTCCTTCTTTCTATTTTGCCTTCACACTTTTTATTACTTAATTCTTTAAGAAAGCAGCATATTCTGAACCAAATCATCACTGCAACTGCTATCTCATTTGCATAATAACCCTCAATGTATTTTGCAGCCTCTCTTGGTTGAAGGTAAAATACATTTGGTTGTATCTATTTGATCTTCAGATTGAGAAAGCAGAAAGTATTAGAGGCTAATCACCCTATATTGGAAATACTGGTTTTGCTCAGAAAATATAAACTAGTTGAGAGAAGTAAGGGGGAGTGTTGGGAAATATCACAAAAATAAGAGTAACTAACTCTTAGGTTTTCAAAACCATGAGTCATCCACAGCTAGTTCTCTTTCTTCTACTTCTCCCATCTGCCTCAGCTGTTTTCCTGACGTCTCATGTGCCTCACTCAACTCGAAGCTGTTTTGCTCTTGTGACAGAGCAGGAAACACTTGTGGCTGCTTCAGCCGCAAGTATCTTCTTCTTCCTCTTTTTCCCTCAGAACTGATAAACCTTGTTATTCAAGGATTGGTGTGTGGCAGAGAAAGGCAGGTTGGACAGGTAGAATAAAGGGGCCCATCAAGAGGCCTGCTAACTTGGTTATTCACTCTGTTTAAAGGAACTCTCCCCTATTTTGTTCTGTCAAGTGCATTTTAAAGACAGATTGTGATGAAGCCATATTGGGAAGCCCACACAATATAGCTATCACTAACTGAAGTCTAGTCACAAATACACTTAATAATTTATCCAAGCAATACAATTGTAAATCCAACTGGGATATATAGATAGTCCTCAAATTACAACCACAACTGAGCCTCAAATTTTCTGTTGCTAAGTAAAATATTAAGAAGTGAATTTTGCCCCATTTTACAACCTTTCTTGCCACAGTTGTTAAGTGAATCACTGTAGTTATTAACTTAGTAATATGATTATTAAGTGAATCTGGCTTCCCCATTGAATTTGTTTGCAAAAAGGTCGCAAAAGATGAACGCATGATCCAGGGAAACCCCGACCGTCATAAATTCGAGTCACTTGCCAAGTGTACAAATTTTGATCAATGACCATGGGGATGCTGCAACAGTCATAAGTGTGAAAAACAGTCATTAAGTTCTCTTATTTTATTGCCGTTGTAACTTTGAACAGTCACTAAGTGAACTGTTGTAAGTCAAGGACTACCTATATTTACAAATTTATTTCATGCTAACTTAGTGTGAAAGTAATTTCCAGTCGGAATAGTTCTAAATCTGGTGACTTGGCTAGAGAACTTCAATCTGGGACACAGATCCAATTTAAAAGACACATTGAATGGTTGTTCCATAATAGAAACATGGAAAACCAATGGTGGAAAAAGACCTAATGGTCCATCAAGGCTTCCCTTTGAGTTTATTTGTTTGTTTTTGCTTTATTTTTAATTTCTTTTTAATGTATTTATTTATAATCAAGTATAGATTTAAATCTGCCAGCCATGTTGCTTTTGTTAAGTGGGGTATGGGCAAGCGTTTGAATCACTAATTCAGAAAAGTTACAAAGTTGAAAAATATTCATTTGTTCACCAGCAGATGTCCTACTTTTCACAACAATAGTAAAGTACTGTAAAAAAAAAAAAAGGCAAGCCGAACTTACTCGGAATTGAGAGAAATCTGAGTAAGTAGGATCATAAGTTTTGCGGTGGGCTTCAAGAAGAATTTCAATGACTTGTTGTTGTTCCTCCAGCAATTTGGGCTTTAGGCTTTCCTTAAGAGCTTCCTCCTCCTTCCTCTTCATTATCATCTCTCTTTTCCTCTGAACCTCTTCATCGGTCAAAATAACTGTAAAGGCAGAATAGTAAGCACATTAAGAGTATAGGTAACAGTAAACTGCTTCAGCCTTAGCTGAAGAATGAGAGGAGGCGACAGCATTTGTTTCCTTAAGGGTTATTGTTTATCGGGACAAGAGTGATTTAATAACTAACAAATGTTCGAAGTAAGAGGGACACTTGACATGGAGAAGACATCCCAGCTAGATTACAGTCCAGCAGGTGATCTTCAAAAATTCTGATTTTAAAGTTGTCTTTAAAGAACCCCCTGGCTCACAGTGACTTTCTTCCAACAAGATGTTTGCATGCTTGCTGAGGACATGAAGCCAGATGTACTGTTGAGAAGACCTCATACACATGAATAAATCTTACCACCGTTTAAAAATACACTGTCAACAGTTTTTCTTTGCATGGTTGTGCACTACAGCCACTGGAGGAATAGCACAGGTCCATCCTCATCAAAAACAACTTGAAGGCTATCTGGAATTCTGCCTCTATGCGTTTTGCGACATCAATCCTCCACAAACTGTCTGTGTGACATGTCAACACACAGGAAAGGGCTGCTTTTGTGGACTATGGCCCTTTTCCCTACTTACAGTTAACCACAGCACAAACAGCCTCTGGGAATATGTTCCCATGACATGCCCTATGCTTGGTCCCCAAAGACAAGCTTATATTGCCCAATGTTAAAGGTGTGTGTTTTCTTTTTTCTTTTGAAGACCATCTAAGGGAAGCCTCAACTTAGACCTTGGAAGGAATTTAGATGAGGGACTGTTATTGGGAACAGATAACTGCTGACAATGAGGGCAATAAACACCCCCCCCCCCGCTGTGCAGTTTTCTGACAGCTAAAAGAATTGTCATGAGCAGAACAACTTAGCAGTGGGCAGAAGCCTTCATTGCCTGACTATGTTGCTGAAAATTCAGAAATTACAGTCTGCGTGCAAGTGTTTCGACCAGTTTTCAGCTGATTCTGGCAATGCCATAGACACACTGCTGGCAGAAACATTACTTTTATGCAAGGTCACTGATGCATTACACTGACAAGCTTCCAGGCCTGTATGTTTGGCAAATAGAGACAAAAGCCAACTTCAGAAAATGAAACACAGAAACCAAATTCCTCTAAATACAATTAAGAAAAGTTGAGAATCGCCTTATCAAGTGTGAAGAATCAGAACCATACCTTAAGTTCCGGTTAAGCTGATTTATTGCTCGTGCCTATACACAAAAACCTGGTCAACTAATGGGCAGCACTAAATTGGTGCTAGGTAAGAGTTAATGGGATTAAAGAGAAGCTGGTCTTGGAGCATTTGTGGACACATAAGGATTCTAGGCTGTGTCCTCTCTTAACTATACCTCCAGGCCCTGCCTGCTCTACTCCTATACATGTACTCCAATAGCATGCAAAACTTTTACATTCCTTTTTAAAAAAAACAAAATATCACAACTAAATTCCCAACATTGATTTGTCAATACTCATAACCCTCCCCAGTCCCAAAGATTCTGGGCAGCACACATCAAACAAAGCAAAATCAACACCATTATCATCCCAAATATTCAGATAAGGGGAAGAAGAAGAAAAAAGCAAGGATAAAATCAAAAATAAATCCACAATAGGTACCAATGGTCACCTGGGACTGTAATAAAATAGCTTTTAGAGAAGTCCAGCAAGGTAAGACTTTTAATAACAGATAACAGATAATCAGAGTTGGAAGGGACCTTGTAGGTCATCTAGTCCAACCCCCTACCCAAGCGGGAGACCCTACACCATTTCTGACAAATGGCAGTCCAATCTCTTCTTGAAAGTCTCAAGTGATGGCGCTCCCACAACTTCCGAGGGCAAGCTGTTCCATTGGTTGATTGTTCTCACAGTCAGACAATTTCTCCTTATTTCCGGGTTAAATCTCTCCTTGTTCAGTTTCCATCCATTATTCCTTGTCTGGCCTACAGGCGCTTTAGAAAATAGCTTGACTCCTTCCTCCCTGTGGCAGCCCCTCAAATATTGGAAGACCGCTCTTCTGTCTCCCCTGGTCCTTCTCTTCACTAGACTAGCCAAGCCCTGTTTCTGCAACCGTTCATTGTATGTTTTAGTCTCCAGTCCCCTAATCATCCTGGTTGCTCTTCTCTGTACTTTTTCTAGAGTCTCAACATCTTTTTTATAATGTGGTGACCAAAACTGGATGCAGTACTCTAGGTGTGGTCTTACTAAGGCTTTATAGAGTGGTATTAGTACTTCCCTTGATCTTGATTGTGTCCTTCTGTTAATACAATTTAGGATTGCATTAGCTTTTTAATGCATCAAGCTTTGGGAGTATCTATCTTTCTGTCCATTTATCCATCCACCCACCTACCCCATGGACCTTAGTATATCTTGTACACTAAATGATAGAGACGAGTTAGATTTCAAAGATGGTTGGGGGTAAAATACAACATGATAACCCCATATGAGAAAGATTAGATTTGGAACGTGGAAAATTGGGGGTGGGGGGATTTCCTATCTCAACTTACCTATTGACAGCTTTGAGCAGTTTCAATACCTGGATTTTTTTAATATTTTAAAAAAAAGACCCATGACACATAATGAGAAAGATTACAAAGCACCCTGAATACTACAAGTAGTATAAAGGTCACCCTGCAATTTAGGATGTATAATCAGAGCTGAGCAAGTACAGGGCTGAAATACAAACCAGTCCCTTTGCACGCAATAGCTGCAAGCCTTATTTTGGCATGTAGGATGAGGTGTTGAGAAAGATCTCTTGTGAGGAACAGGAGTCTGTCTGCCACTTTTCTCTTCCTTTGATGACCCTAATCCTGGACAAATTCTTGCAACCAAGTCTCTAGCTTGCTTCTTTTAGGTATAAATCATATTGTAAAGAACCGTTCTCCAATATTTTGGTCTTAGGATCCTTTACATTCTTAAAAAGGATTGATGACCACAAAGAGCTTTGGTTTACGTGGGTTATATCTATCAATATGTATTATATTAGAAATAGAAACCAAGAGGTTTTAAAATATTTATTTATTTGACTTTGTAGACCCTCTGAAAAAATTCTGGGGGAAACTTTGAGAACCACTGCTTTAAAAAATGGTAGCGTTGCAAATGACCAGGTATTATTTGTTTACTTGCTTAATTAACCTTTTATGGAGCCCCAATCTCAAATTTCTCAGTGGCATAAAAGCTCAAACGAACAATAAATAAATTCGAACATCTCAAGTTTTCATAGTTATACTGTCCAGCATCAGGGCAGTAGATGGGATGTGAATTAGAGAGGGCAATTTACTCTTGTGTTCTTTTCTGGTTCCCCTTTCCCTATGGGGAAAGAACCTTTGGTTTGATCTAACTGAGCCCATGTGAATTCTCATTTCAGAACCTACTGCTTCAGATTCATTTCAAAATAATGGCGGTATACGGAATATGAGATTCGTTTTATCTATGCTTAAATAACAGAAACAGAAGTTGGAATATTTAAAATTATAAGCGAAGGATTAATTTTACCACAAGGGTTTATTATATGTTTATTATCAATTTGATTTAGTAGTAATAATTAAGTATTAATATGTTGAGAAAATACTGTTATTATATGATCACTAATTAACATCATGATGATGATGACTATTGCTCAAATTAACTGTAACCAGACAACACACTGTTTATATAGACATTGAAATTGTTGCTCTATCTTTATATAGTAAAAATTTAAAAAAAATATTTGAAAAAAATAATAACGGCAGTATAGCATGAGCTTGTTCTTAGAACCGCTGTAACTGGATGTTTGAAATGTGGAAATGGAGGTGTTGGATGAAGGAGGCCCTTAGATTCAGTCTGCAGAGGTCACCAGGGCTACTCTTTCTCCTGTCTGGTCTTCCCTCCTTCCCTGCAGTCCTCCAGAATCAGCACTGGCCCATAAAACATGGGAGAGAGAAATTGCTGTGTTGGCAACTCTTGTGTAAAATCTATTTCAATGCCATCCTTATCACATCTTATCTCCTCTCTTCCAGTTTATGGCACCATCAAAAGAAGTCCAGTAAGTTCTAGATCAGAGATCCATACATCTTGTACTCTTAGGGTAGTGATGTGTATACAAGAGAAAGAGCACTGGGTGAAAGGGCATTAGTCTGGCTCCTTGATTTAGAATTTATTTCATATTGCAGGGATCAACCTGCTCTCTAGTCAGCACGCTGTTTACCAAGAAGCTTCTCAGAGACATTTTCTCTGAACCAGACAATATTATTTACAGGAAACTTGCACAATACTGTCGTGTGCATTGAACATTTCTAAAGGAAGTGAATGTGAAGCATTAGGGTGCCTGAGAATCAATGCCACATCCGGATGGCTATTCCCTTCTGTCACAATTTATTTCCATTAAACTCAAATATTTTTCTGTACACCTCCTAAGATCTGTCAGATAGTCAAATCACTTTGATCTATTTCTTTTAAATAAAACAATGGAATTGAAAGCATTAAAAGAAAGAAAGAAAATCTGTCCACTATGTGTAAAGCCCTTCTTAGCATTCTCTTGCTTTCCATGAAATGCCTATTGTTCTCTGTAAGGTAAACTATAGAACAAGTGCACCTTGAAGTTTGAGTTTAGACAAATACAATCAGATCGTGTGAAGTGCTATATATTACGGGGAAAAGATAGCTAATGTTTACTTTTTCTGATTCACACCGATCTATTTACTTATCTTCCAATTATATTTCTATGTGCCATTTGCAGAGGATATTGTCTGAGGGCTAATAAACATCAATTTGCCTTCTAGCCAAAGAGGAGAAAATATTATTCTGGAAACCTGCACCTCCCCCCACACTCTACATGCATTTTGTTGGCATGTAGGAACTGCTATGGGGTTGGCTGCAAGGGGAGACTAGTTTGGGATACTATGAATAAATGCATTAGGAAGCCTCAACAGCTTTATCTTTGGCAACAGTCTTTGCTAGGCAACAAATCCTGGGAAAGCAGCATTCTAGCAGGCCTTATGAACCATAGCGTCCCAGCAAAAACTGGAGGAGTAG